ATTTTATATGTATGAGTGTATTGCCTGCATGTATGTAAGTGCACCCATGTTGTACAATGCTCAAAGAGGTCAGAAGAGGACATCCGATCCCTTAGAACTAGAGTTGCAGATGACTGTTAGCTGCCACATGGGTGCTGGGAATCAAACCCAGATCCTCTACAAGAGCAGCCAGTGCTCTTAACCCCTAAGCCATCTCTCCAGCTGCTCCCCCAACCTGCTTCTCTTTCTTCATGTGTCATTGTATAAAGAAACATTTTGCCTTCCTTTCTCCAGTGCATAGTACTCCCTTGTGTGACAGGGCTGATTGAACTGGTTCTCTCTAGACAGGCATTGACGTATTTCTGGTTGAGTGGACAACCTTTTAAATCAGAGCCAACAGAAGTCAAATGAACAAACAGCTACGCAAACTGCCTAAGTCTTAAAATGATTGTCTATCGTTTTCTCACTGCCTTGCAATTTTACAGAAGGAGGAAAAGACCTGAAGTGACTCCAGACTTCAAGCGGCAGATTCGAGATAAGAAAACTAAGCTTCAGGACAGAGCCAGACTGAAAAAAGCACAGTCACTGGTAAGTCTTTGTGGGAAACACACAGCACCATAAATGATGAAAACGGCCCAATCCCTAATCCTGTTGGTGAAATTGAATTTTTTTAAGTCAGAATCATGAAGTGGTTGTTTAAATCTGTGTCTGGGGCTGGGGATGTAGCTCAGTTGGTAGAGTGATCATTTTGCAAGAAACCCTGGGTTCCATCCACACTACGGCAGAAAACTCCTCATGGTGGGGTGCATGCCTGTAATCTTAGCACTTGGGAGGTAGAGGCAGAGGACCAGAAGTTCAAGGTCATCTTCAGCTGCATAGCAAGTTTGAGCCCAGCCTGGGCTACATGAGACTCTATCTGAAATACTACTACAGGGGCTGGAGAGATGGCTCAGTGGTTAAGAGTACTGACTGTTCTTGCAGAGAACCCAGGTTCAGTTTCCAGCACTCACATGGTGGCTAACAACTGTCTGTAACTACAGTTCCAGGAGATCTGATGCCCTCTTCTCACCTCCATAGGCATTGAACAACACGGGTGCACTCACATACATGTAGGCAAGGCACTTATACACAATAATAAATATCTTTGTGCCCCGACCCTAAATGAGCTGTGGGACTTTGAAGATATTCTTTAATCTTTCTAAGCCTTTGTTTTTCCTATCTGATGTTACTTATTTTATTTATATTTTTATAAGGTGGAGTTGGAATTTATTAAGAAATGCAGTTTTTAATTATTATCATATGTTTATGCATGTCTGTGTGGGCATGTGTGTCATGGGACATGTGTGGAGGTCAGAGGACAACTTTGTGGAGTCAATTCCCTTCTACTTTTATGTGGGTTCTGGGATCTAATTCAGGCCACTGCTTGCGCAGCGAGCTTTTTTATATGCTGTGCCATCTGGCCAGTCCAAGAAAAGGTTTTTAATGTCAATTTAAGCAAGGACATTAAGGGAAAGAAAAACATTTAGGACACGGACAGCACATAATCCAGGCTGGCCTGGAATTCACTACGTAGACCAGCTTGAACTCCTTCAGTGATGGGATTACAGGCATCTGCTCTTTTTAAAAAGGAGACTAGATAGATCTGTGTATATGAAACTCTACAATACAGAACGTATGTGCTTTTTAAAATGCTTTATTAGCATATATTAATTATACATAACAGGCTTTAGTGTCACATTTTCATACTTGTAGTGTGCGCTGATCATATTCACCACGTTCCCCTCTCTCACTAACCTCCTTCTAGAGGTAATATTCTTATCCTTGGTCTTTTTTCTACTGTGAGTCCTCTGGCTTTGGGGAAATTGTTCCTCTCTAAAGCAGAGTCCTGGCCCTAACAGCAAGGTGTGCTTCCCCAACACCCCCGCTGCCAGTGGTGTGTGGTTACAAAATTGCATTTAAAGTGACTGCAGAGGGCTGAGCATGTAGCCCAGTTGGTAGAGTGCTGGCTTAGCATGCCCAAAGCCCTGGGTTCGATCCCCAGCACCACACAAACCGGACAAGGTGGTGTATATCTGTAATCCCAGCACTCAAGAAGTAGAGGCAGGAGGCTCAGTTCAAAGCCAGCCTGGGCTACATGAGCTCCTACCTCAAAAATAAATAAGTAAATAAATGACTCCAGAAAACTAAACTGAAAGTTTTTCTGTCTCTAATTTAAAAAGTGGCTATTTGCAACATAATAAAATCAGTAATTGTGATGAGGAAGCATGATTAATTCATAGCAGAGCTTCCTAAATTGTGGTTTGGACCCCAGGGGATCCATTTTATTATGTTATGAGAGTTTTTGGCGCAAAGTAGAAGGGAATCTGAGTAAAATAAACAGTGCATAGATTGTAATAAACACTTAGAGAGATGCTGAAGACACACTCCAGGAGAATTAATATCAAATGGCTGTCATTGGTGAGATAATCCGCATGCCCTCAGGAGTAAACCACTCTCACAGCTCCACTTGAAAACTCTGTTACCTTATGCTTAACTGTATTTTCAAGTGCTGCATTAAAAAAAAAAAAAAAAAGAGAGAGAGAGAATGAGAGCGAGGGATGAACTTCTTAAAATAGAGCCACATGTGTTTTGAAGGCACATTTTCTTGGACTGGAGGCAGCTCCTTGTAGACCTGTGCAGACACCTCCAGGGACAGTGGAGCTTGGAGCAAAGCAGGAAAGTTACCCATGAAACTGTGAATTGCCAAAAAGAGCACAAGAGCCTTATCACAGGGGCCACTGTAAAGTGTTTCTGACTGGTTTCCAACCCCCAGACACTGCCCCTACACCCTCTTCCACATCTACCTCCTCCCACACCCACCCTCACTCCCCCAGGCAAGGAGGAAGAGAGAAGGCAGGGGAGAATCCATGCCAGAGGTGGTGGTTCACTCCTATAATTCCAGCACACAGAACGCTGAGGCAGAAGGATCACCTTGAGTTCCAGATCAGCCTAGGCCAGCCTGGGCTAGTGTAAGATCTGACTCAAAACACCAGAAGGTGGGGAGAGATGAGGAAGGGAGGAAGGAGAGGCGGGGGTGGGGAGGGGAATATGAATGAAATTGAAGATAATAAAAGTTGATGTTAGGGCCGAGTGTGGTGGCGCACGCCTTTAAACTCAGCATTTGGGAGGCAGAGGCAGGCGGATCTCTGTGAGTTCAAGGCCAGCCTGGTCTACACAGTGAGTTCCAGGACAGCTGGGGCTACAGGGAGACCCTGTCTCAAAAAGACCAAAAAATAAATAATAAATAAATAAATAAATAAATAATAAAAAAAATAAATAAAAATAAAAGTTGATGTGGTGATGTATGCTTAGAAATTATCAGCACAATCAAATGTTCTCCTGCTTAAAAAAACACTTAAATTCTGTGGCTTTTGACATTAGCTATCTGTCAAACACTAGCAGAGACGGCTGAAGTTCAGTATTCATCAAACATTTCAAAGTGGAAGGCTGGAGTTGTAGCTCCTTTGGTAGAGTGCTTGTTTAGTGCACGAGGCCCAGGGTTCCATTCCCTGTGCTGCACAAACTGGTCATGGTGACACATACTTGTAACCCCAGTATTAGGGAGGATGAAGCTGGAGGATCAAGGTCACCCTCAGCTACATAGCAAGTTTGAGGCCAACCTAGGCTACATGAGACCCTCCCTCAAAAAACAAAACCAAATAAAACAAAGATGTTAAAAAGTTGTTGGGTTTGGTGCTGCAAATCTGGAACCCCAGCACTGGAGAGGCAGAGAGAGAATGAGGGTCATTACAAGTTCCAGGCTAGCCAGGGCTAGACTAGGGCAAGACCCTGTCTCAAAAACACTAAAATAAATAAGTACATTAATTAATTAATTAAACCATAAGTTGTGTTAATTAAGGCTGGAAGAGAAATTAGGGTGAATTAATGGTAGAGAACAATTAGCTTTTACTAAATGTGTGATTATACTCATCTACTTTTGATTTTATAAATATACTAATTATAATTACTACATACATTTGGTAGTTTTGATAAAGAACATAATTAAATCCCCCCAGAACTATACTGTGATTTTTAAAAAATATTTTACGTATTATTTTTATTTTATGTGTATGTGTGTCTTGCCTGCATGTAGGTAAGTGCTCCCATGTCGTGCAATGCCCTCGGAGGACAGAAGAAGCCGTCAGATCCCCTGGAACTGGAGTTTCAGACAGTTGTTAGCTGCCATGTGGATACTGGGAATTGAACCTGTGTCTTCTACAAGAACAACCAGTGTTCTTAATCGCTAAGCCATCTTTCCAGCCCCCCTATACTGTGATTTTTGACTCATGTCTGTGGTGTGCTGGCCTTTGACAACCTGGCTGTTCGGGCTACAAGGCTGTGTCAGGCCCTCTTTCCCCACAGTGGCAGTTTGCCCTCCTGTAGGCTTCAGACCTGGGAGGGAAGGGGCCAGGCAGGAGATGCCTGAACCGTTGTGAAAGTAAAGAAATGCGGGGGGGGGGGGGGGCGGAAAGGGGGGGGGGGGGGGGCGCTGAAGAGGCGGGGTGAGGAGGACATTAGCCCTCCCGAGGAAGGGGGGACACTTTGACAGAGGGGCTCATGAGGTGGCTTTTCATGGTAGACTCATTCCAAGTGACTCCCAAGGATGAACTGCTGAGTTCCTTTAAGAGAAAGCTTGGGTATCATTTTAACAGGTTTCTGGGGGAAGAGTTTCAGAGGAACCAGAAAATGGGTTAGCAGGGGAAACTTGGGAAAGCCGGAGCTAACTCCAACAACTGAAAATAACACTCAGGGCTAGAGAGATGGCTCAGCAGTGAAGAGTGCTAATGAAAGACCCAGGTTCGGTTCCCAGCACCCACAAGGCAGCTAACAGCCATCTGTAACTCCAGTTTTATGGGATCCAACACTTTCTTCTGGTCTCCGCAGGCATTGCACCACATGGGTGTACTTACATATGTACAGGCAAAGCACTCATACACATAAATAAAAACAAATATAATTTTTTTACAAAAATAAAGTGACACGCCCCAAACCTCTGACCAGGGGACTGAGACTGGAACAACTTCAGATTTCTTGCACCTTTCCTGGGGAAAATGGGAGGTGTGGTAACTGGAGAAGGTAAAGCTTTGTTAAATGGAAAGGTCTGGAAAGGAAGCGAGCACAGAAGTTTAAATGAACACAGCGGTATGCATGGGAATACTGTAATATTTAGAATCAAGAGCAAAAAACAGTGACTTGGAAAGAGAAGGACAGCAGTTCTTGTCTTTTTTTCATGGACTTTCAACTTTCTACATATTAAAGTAGCAGGAATCGTTTCTGTATTCCATACAAGCCCAGTAAGCGTTGTCCCTTCTGGGCCTTGATGAGAGCTGAGCTTCCACGTTATTCCCTGGAGCGTTGGTGCAGTGGGAATTGACATGAATGGACACTGATCTGCTGAATGAGATAAAACAGTATTCTCAGTAACTACTTTTTATTTTGCTACAAAATTTCTAATAAAACTTTGCCGGGCGTGGTGGCACATGCCTTTAATCCCAGCACTTGGGAGGCAGAGGCAGGCGGATCTTTGTGAGTTCGAGGCCAGCCTGGTC